GGGACGACGACGTTTCGGTCCGTCCTGGACCATTCTCAAGTCGATTGTGTTATTTTTCACTATCATTCTCTCAGTCTTGCGGTTGATGCTTCCCCTTATCTCTCCCTTAACCGCCCTTCCCTAGTCCTCATCCCCTAGATCTTTCCCTCCTTTTGCCCCTAAGAAACCTTGAAATAACTGTATGTTTCTCTCAGAGTGTCGTGAGGCTGAATATCACTTCCAAGACACATGATTTTTGTATATGTAATATCGAGGCCTATACCTGGCTCACACCAGGGCGCCTGACAGCTAGGTGGACAGCGCTTCGGATTCGTATTCCCGAGGTTCCGGGTTCGATCCCCGGTGGAGGCGGAGACATATGGGCAAAATGTTTCTTTCACCCTGATGCCCCTGTTATCTAGCAGTAAATCGGTACCTGGGAGTTAGACAGCTGCTACGGACTGCTTCCTGGGGGGTTATGTAACAAAAAGGTGGCCTGGTCGAGGACCGGGCCGCGGGGACGCTAAGCCCCGAAATCATCTCAAGATAACACCGCTGGCTCGCTTACACACTGACCAGTTTCCAGCTTACAGTGTCATACTGTCATGCATTCAGTGTGAGGACATGTTAGACGCATACTCTTCCTTTCTCTGGTTTCCTATCCTGCTCGTTCCCTCTCACTTTGCCTCCCTCTCACCCTTCTTATTCACTTTTCATTTCCCTAATTCTCCTTATCCCTCCCTCTCACCTCTTCTCATTCCTCCCCCCCCCCCCTACATCTTCCTCGCGATAAAATCCTTAACTTTCTTAAGCCAGACTTTAAGGCACGGGACGGAGCTTTTCAACACACCAACTTAATATTACAGGAAACAAAGTGTAAAAGTCCTTCCTCCTATGTTGAGCCGGGATAATATTGTCGATTATTTTGCTGGTTCAATATTTCACTAAACAACATAAGTACGTTTTAATGACTGTGTATCGAACAACGTAAATTTGTTCTGGTGTTGCATGATATCCATGCAAGTTACATCTGATTATTACAGTGATACAAATGCATTTCAAAGAATGTATATAAGCGAAAAAAAAATTAATTTTCTAATTATTTTCAGCTATACTGAATCAAAATAGTGATCGAATCATGTGGTATTGTCACGTGTTGGTGTTCACGTGTTGGTGTTCACGTGTTGGTGTTCACGTGTTGGTGTTCACGTGTTGGTGTTCACGTGTTGGTGTTCACGTGTTGGTGTTCACGTGTTGGTGTTCTCGTGTTGGTGTTCACGTGTTGGTGTTCACGTGTTGGTGTTCACGTGTTGGTGTTCACGTGTTGGTGTTCACGTGTTGGTGTTCACGTGTTGGTGTTCACGTGTTGGTGTTCACGTGTTGGTGTTCACGTGTTGGTGTTCACGTGTTGGTGTTCACGTGTTGGTGTTCTCGTGTTGGTGTTCACGTGTTGGTGTTCACGTGTTGGTGTTCACGTGTTGGTGTTCACGTGTTGGTGTTCACGTGTTGGTGTTCACGTGTTGGTGTTCACGTGTTGGTGTTCAACGAGGTAGTGTAGGAACGGAGAGAGAGAGAGAGAGAGAGAGAGAGAGAGAGAGAGAGAAAGAGAGAGAGAGAGAGAGAGAGAGAGAGAGAGAGAGAGAGAGAGAGAGAGAGAGAGAGAGAGAGAGAGAGAGAGAGAGAGAGAGAGAGAGAGAGAGAGAAAGAAAGTTTATTCACAAACAACTATACACCAGAAGTGAAAGTCCAAAGAAAGCTATCTACGCGAGTTCTGTTGTGGGAGAGGGAGCAGGACTGCTCAGCTGGAGATAGACAAATGTGAGGGCAGACGAGTCGTGCACCGACACATGGAACAGGAGGTTGGGGACGCAGCTGGGGAGATGGAAGGGGGGGGGGTGAGAGGAGCCGAGTCAGGGGAGATGGTACTATAGCAGTTAAGAGGAGCAGATGGAAGAGGTGAGCAGAGGAGCAGACCTCTTGGGAGAGAACTGGAGGCTATACCTGGTTATACCACAGACCCGTCACATCGTCACCAGACCCGTCACACCGTCACCAGACTCGTCACACCGTCACCAGACCCGTCACATCGTCACCAGGCCCGTCACACCGTCACTAGGTCCGTCACACCGTCACCAGACCCGTCATACCGTCACCAGGCCCGTCACACCGTCACCAGGCCCGTCACACCGTCACCAGGCCCGTCACATCGTCACCAGACCCGTCACACCGTCACCAGACCCGTCACATCGTCACCAGACCCGTCACATCGTCACCAGGCCCGTCACACCGTCACCAGACCCGTCACATCGTCACCAGGCCCGTCACATCGTCACTGGTATTCACTGTCACGTAATATATTCACCTGAGTCCGCAAAACATTATAGTATTTGCATCTGGAAGGTAATATGACAGTGATGCCTGGCACAGCATGAGAGGTTAATGGTTGTGGTGATGGTGATGGTGGTGGTGGTGGTGAGGTGATGGTGGTTGTGGTGGGGGTTGTTATGATGATTGTGGCGGGGGTTGTAATGGTTGTGGTACCGTTGTTGAGGCAGCAGTGAGGCACTAGTGTGGGAACTACTGTTGGCACTATCAGTGGCAGCACTGTCAGAGATTTGCTTGTGGTACATTTGGTAGCACTGGTAATGTACTGTTGGTGGCACTGCTACAGGTCCTCTTAATGGCAATATTGCTGGTACTGATTGTGACAATTGATGAACTGATTGTAACATAATTACTCGACTGATTGTGACATAACTACTGAACCGACGGTGGAGCTGTTCATTTCACCAATGGCGGCACAGTTGATGAGGCTTAAAATGACACGATTAATTTGATTGGTAATTGCAGTTATCGCACAACCCGTCCTCATCAACGCTAGTCAAATGCTCATTAATCCACTCGTCGACCGCCTCCGGACGTATGAACTGAAATCACTTCACGCGACCGACCATATCAGGAGGCCTGGTCGACGACCGGGCCGCGGGGACGCTAAGCCCCGGAAGCACCTCAAGGCAACCCTTCCTCAGAATACATTCGTCCAAGCTGGAGACGACCTCAAAGACGCATTTGAAAATGTTTTTACTTTGAAACCGAAAACCATTTTTTCTCTCGAGAAAAAAACAAGAGTTCAGATTCAGATTCAGATGTTTATTCAGGTAAGGTATATACATACAAGTGATGTTACATTAATGGATTGATATATAGATAGAGCTAGTACATACAATGCCTAAAGCCACTATTACGCAATGCGTTTCGGGCAAGAAAAACATTAATATCTAGAACTTAATACTAATTGAGCATAAAGAATAAAAAGTGTTGAGAACAAATACAAATAAAGATAAAAAAAAAAGGGGGAACATGACTGAAAAAGCAGCACAAATACAATAGGTTGACAAACAGTGTTGATTAAAAAAAAAGAAAATAACAGACATGGGTTGACAATAGAGGAGTGAGGTAGGTTACAGGGAATTTATTAGGTAGTGTTTAGTTTTTATCTTAAACTGGTTGAGAGAGGTACTGTCTTTAACATGGTTGGGAAGGTCATTCCACATTCTGGGTCCCTTGATTTGTAGAGCATTTCTGGTTTGATTAAGTCGTACTCTAGGAATATCAAAACTGTATTTATTTCTGGTGTGGTGCTCATGGGTTCTGTTACAACCTTCTATGAAGCTTTTGAGATCAGGATTGGCATTACAATTTAGCGTTTTGTATATGTATAGTACACATGAGAGAATGTGCAGTGACTTAATGTCTAACATATTCAGGGATTTGAATAGGGGTACCGAGTGATGTCTGGGGCCAGAATTGGATATTGTCCTAATAGCAGCTTTGTGTTGAGTAATTAGAGGACGTAAATGATTTTGGGTAGTAGAGCCCCAAGCACAAATACCATAGTTGAGATATGGATAGATAAGGGAGTAATAGAGAGTCACCAGGGCAGGGCGTGGTACATAATATCTGATCTTAGAAAGAATGCCCCCAGTTTTTGAAACTTTTTTAGATATGTTTAGAATGTGTCCCTGGAAATTCAGCTTGTGGTCAATGAGAATGCCAAGGAATTTGCCATCTAATTTGTTACAAATTTGGGTATTGTTTATTTTGAGATTTATTTGATTAGAGGATTTATTGCCAAACAAAATATAGAAAGTTTTGTCAATGTTAAGGGTGAGTTTGTTGGCAGTTAGCCACAGATGGACTTTATTTAGCTCAGTATTTACTGTGGCATTTAGAGCAAGGGGATCAGGACTGGAGTAAATGAAGGTTGTGTCGTCAGCAAATAGGATTGGTTTGAGGTGTTGGGAGGCATTTGGAAGGTCATTAATGTAGATGAGAAAGAGGAGAGGGCCAAGTATGCTGCCCTGGGGAACACCAATGTTGATGGGTAGGGTGGGAGAAATTGTATTATTCACAGAAACACATTGGAGCCTGTCAGTAGGGTAGGATTTGATAAGGTAGTTAGTACAGTTAAATGTATGATAGGTTAGGTGTTGCTGTTCCGTTGGCAATTATTTTATATTTGCGATACCCCGGTGAAGCCTTAAATGAGGTGGGATTCGAACACGGGAAGAGATCGACGACTAACGCATTGATTTACGTCACGGAGGTCGTAGCTGAGATTTATTTGTTGGTATCCGGCAGTCATAATTCATTCAGGGTTATTCACACTGAAGAAGGTCAGCTAAGATCGAGTGACGCAACTCTCACACAGTCTAAATCACTCTGATTCAGTTGAAGTTCCTCAAAGATTCATTCTGGGGTCAGTTTGAATCTGAGTTATTCACACTCGGTTAAGACCTGAGATCAAATTAGGATTCATCAGATCCAGTGAGATCGCCGAGATCCAATTTAGATCACTTAGATCCAATTGAGATCACAGAGATCCAAATGAGATCACTCAGATCCAAACTGGGCTCACTCAGGTTCATTCACGTTTAATTAGAATCGACCGAGGGGCTTCAAGGCCTCTCGATTCGCTGAGGACGGCTTCACTCACACAGGTCCATTGAAGGCTGCTTCACCTCAAGGTTATTTCACTGAAAAGGTACTTCATTTTGCAGGGTTCACTCAAAGTTGCTTCACTCAAAGTTGCTCCATTCAAAGTTGCTTCACTCAAAGTTGCTTCACTCAAAGTTGCTTCACTCAAAGTTGCTTCACTCAAAGTTGCTTCATTCAAAGTTGTTTCATTCAAAGTTGCTTCACTCAAAGTTGCTTCACTCAAAGTTGTTTCATTCAAAGTTGCTTCACTCAAAGTTGCTTCACTCAAAGTTGCTTCATTCAAAGTTGCTTCACTCAAAGTTGCTTCACTCAAAGTTGCTTCACTCAAAGTTGTTTCATTCAAAGTTGCTTCACTCAAAGTTGCTTCACTCAAAGTTGCTTCATTCAAAGTTGCTTCACTCAAAGTTGCTTCACTCAAAGTTGCTTCACTCAAAGTTGCTTCACTCAAAGTTGCTTCACTCAAAGTTGCTTCATTCAAAGTTGCTTCACTCAAAGTTGCTTCACTCAAAGTTGCTTCACTCAAAGTTGCTTCACTCAAAGTTGCTTCACTCAAAGTTGCTTCACTCAAAGTTGCTTCACTCAAAGTTGTTTCATTCAAAGTTGCTTCACTCAAAGTTGCTTCACTCAAAGTTGCTTCATTCAAAGTTGCTTCACTCAAAGTTACTTCACTCAAAGTTGCTTCACTCAAAGTTGCTTCACTCAAAGTTGTTTCATTCAAAGTTGCTTCACAAAAACTTGTGTGACATCAGCCAAAGGCAATTATCTGGTTTTCATTGCGGTTCACATATAGGTGAGTCGGAGAGTTAACCGAACACATCGCCCTCATGGGGGTTACTGGAGCCTTAACCGAACACATCGCCCTCATGGGGGTTACTAGAGCCTTAACCGAACACATCGCCCTCATGGGGGTTACTAGAGCCTTAACCGAACACATCACCCACATGGGGGTTACTAGAGCCTTAACCGAACACATCGCCCTCATGGGGGTTACTAGAGCCTTAACCGAACACATCACCCACATGGGGGTTACTAGAGCCTTAACCGAACACATCGCCCTCATGGGGGTTACTAGAGCCTTAACCGAACACATCACCCACATGGGGGTTACTAGAGCCTTAACCGAACACATCGCCCTCATGGGGGTTACTAGAGCCTTAACCGAACACATCACCCACATGGGGGTTACTAGAGCTTTAACCGAACACATCGCCCTCATGGGGGTTACTAGAGCCTTAACCGAACACATCACCCACATGGAGGTTAACGAGATATTTTGAACTTAGTCCGGATGACTTAGGTAACTTAGATGTACACGAAGCCACTTATAATTCCTGGGGACTCCTTCAGGTTTACTTTAGGATTAATTAAAAATTACCTGGAGTACCACTTGGGGTTATCCTCGGAATCCTTGGATTCACGTCACTCAGGTTTACTTTCTGTAAGTTGCGTTCTTTTCTGAGAGTCCTTAGTTTACTTTGAGTCTCTTTAAGAGTCCCCCCAGAAGTGGGGAGCTGCCTCGTATGGGCCAATAGGCCTTCTGCAGTTACCTTTGTTCTTATGTTCTTATGTTCTTAAGTGGTATGGGCTTAAGTGCCATATAAAAAGTCACTCTGGTTTCTTTGAAACCAACTTCCAGGACAAATCGAGGTCGCTTGCAATGTTATCGCTTACAACGAGAACATTTCGGTTTCCCTTAGGCTAAATAGAATCAATTTTAAGAGCATTAGGAATCACTTTAGATCGCCTGAAGTCATTAAGGCTCCATCCTGAGACACTCAGAACCAGTTTAGGGCGGGATCTCTTTCTCGTTGCTCTCATCTTATGTTGATTGTCAGGATTATTGACGAGTCTCTTGGCTGAGTCTCTGTTTGTATGTGTCTGTGCCTCTGATTGTATGTGTTTGTATCTCTGATTGTATGTGTCTGTATTTGGTTGTGTCTCTGTGTGTGTCTGTGATTGACTGTCTCTGACTGTATGTGTCTGTATTTGGTTGTGTCTGTGTGTGTGTGTGTCCGTGATTGGATGTGTCTCTGATTGCATGTGGCGGTGCTTGGCTGTGTCTTTAATGGTTTATATGAGTGGTTGTGTCTGTGTGTGGTTGTGTCTGTGAGTAGTTGTGTCTGTGAGTGGTTGTGTCTGTGAGTGGTTGTGGTTGTTTAGTCCACTCCCAGGTATGTTTCACTACTCATTACAGGGAGGAACTTTCCCTTCACTATGCACCGTCCCTTTGGCATCACCTGTTGCCTTTTTCGTCACCTTACGCTTGTTGGAAGTGAAATCCAGAGGAAATTTCTCTGACCATCTCTGCAACTTATTAGTCATGTTGGAGACGTTTACAATCCTCATCTCTGTCAACTCTTTTCATTCATTTTGTTTCGTCTGTAAACATCGACGTGTGTGTGTGTGTGTTTACTATTTGTATTTAATATTTGTATCTGCAGAATCGAGCTATTGGTTCTTGGACCCTGCTTTTCTAACCAATTTATTTTCTCTCTATTATGTCTACTACACATATTTCTCTCTAACATACTCATACACACACACACATACCCAGGAAGCAGCCCGTGGCAGCTGTCTAACTCCCAGGTACCTATTTACTGCTAGGTAACAGACGCATCAGGGTTAAGGAAACTCTGTCCATCTGTCTCCGCCAGGTGCGGGGATCGAATCACGGTCCCTAGGTCCACGAGACTAGAGCGCTGTCCACTCGGCCATCCAGCCCCAACGTGTGTGTGTGTGTGTGTGTGTGTGTGTGTGTGTGTGTGTGTGTGTGTGTGTGTGTGTGTGTGTGTGTGTGTGTGTGTGTGTGTGTGTGTGTATATATATGTGTGTGTGTGTGTGTTTTGGTACTTTTTTGGTACTTGGTATATCGAACTCTAACTATTGTCCTGATTGCTAGCTGTTGGTCGTCTAATGTAGTATATCCCGTCATGTCTCCTATTTACTCTCGTTTAGTTGGTAATCATACCAGACGTTTACAACCAATTTAACCCCCACCTTTTCAACCCTGTCAATTAATCTAGGCATTTTTCATGTCTCCTTACACTTTTCCTCTTCTCTCTTCTTGGCCCAGTTCCACCAATCACTCCACGCAGCCCCACTCCACACAGTTCCAGTCATGCCTCGTTGGCACACTTCAACTCCGTCTCAAAAGTTTCCTTATGTACTGCATGACGTGAAAATCCTTCGCCAGCAATATCTGAAGCATCACAATATCAAACCGTCAGCATTATAAGGTACTTTAATGGTATTTTAATGGTTAATGGTCTTTTTAGGTAAACGTAAAACTTGCTAGACAAACAAAGGGAGACATGCCGAGGCAACAGAGTTCTTGGAGGCAGTTGACGAAGCAGAGTTCTTGGAGGCAGTTGACGACTGCTTTCAGAGGTAGAGGTCAGAGGTCTTTCAGAGGTCTTTGAAGGAGAGTGGTTTCAGACGTCATTCTTGCCACAAATATCAACACAGACGTCATTCTTGCCACAAATATCAACACAGACGTCATTCTTGCCACAAATATCAACACAGACGTCATTCTTGCCACAAATATCAACACAGACGTCATTCTAGCATGTCGTACACGTCTGTGTACCACATACGTCGTTGTTTTGTATATAAAAACGACGTATTTGGTACTATACGTTGAATGACGTCCACCAACGTCATTTTCGCTACATACAGTCATAATTCGCGTCTCATTATAATCTAGATTATGTCATTGCAGCATATTATTATTATCTATTCAACTATGATAATAAAACTTGGCCATGCAGTACAACATCCTTTTCAGAGTGATCACGCTAAAAGGTAATCCTGCCTTGTTCCTGCTATAAACAGGCTAAGACTCAATTACCACTGTATTATTCCTGCCTTGGACTGGTTACAGTCCCCCTCCTTCACTGTACTCTTAGACCGAGACACGGGCAATGATTCCCCTACACTGAGAATGTTCCCACAACAACGCTAATTGCAAAAGCTTGTCAGTGGCAACACATGATCGGTTGCAGGACAGGGGGGGCCAGTTTCAACACACTGGCTATTGTAAGGTATAGTCAAGTGCAACACATGACAAGTTTTATCACAGTTGCAATACAGAACCCAGTCGTGACACAACTGGTCCTGTTTTGCAACTGTATTACAGTAACACACTGAAAGATGCAACATACAGTTACTACACAGGATCACTTGAAACACGGCCAAGTTGCAACTCAATGTCAGTTGCAACAAAAGTGTCAGTTTTAGTGTCAAAAATCTTGCAACACAGAGATCATATGGAGAGCAGTGAGAGATGTTGTTCGACAAGCGGCTACAGACACGGGGTCAAGCCGCGTGAGGCTCGTACCTGCAGGGTGGGGGGAGGGGGGTCATAAGCCAAATATCAATGCATACCAAATTTTTTGCTCTCAAATATAAAAGTCATGACATCAATCAGCATTCCATCTGACTCGCATAAATATACTGTCAAAAACTGAATTCAATTAAGCCCAACAAAGCCGAGCAAATACAGTGCGTCGTTGTGACGGATAGTTCGGTCAAGCTCTATCCCTCCTTTGGTGCGTCAGTCATCGATATCTATCCCTCCTTTGGTGCGTCAGTCATCGATATCTATCGCTCCTTTGGGGCGTCAGTCATTGATATCTATCCCTCCTTTGGTGCGTCAGTCATCGATATCTATCGCTCCTTTGGTGCGTCAGTCATCGATATCTATCGCTCCTTTGGTGCGTCAGTCATCGATATCTATCTATGCTTTGGTGCGTCAGTCATCGATATCTATCGCTCCTTTGGTGCGTCAGTCATCGATATCTATCGCTCCTTTGGTGCGTCAGTCATCGATATCTATCTATGCTTTGGTGAGTCAGTCATCGATATCTAACCCTCCTTTGGTGAGTCAGTCATCGATATCCACCTCTTCGTAAGAAAATATTAATCAAGGATCAAAAAATGATGAACATGACTGATTTTTGAAGATGTGATTACTAATCCACGGTACCGCTCTTACACCTTCGCGTGTCTCTTCAACGCTGTGCTGATACAGCTTATCAGCTGTAATATACAGGCATTAAAGGATATTATATTCAAAAAGATGTTTCCCGCTCCTCGGTGGTCCAACCACTTGGGCTGGACGGTAGAGCGACGATCTTGCCTCATGCAGGTCGGTGTTCAATCCCAAAATCACTTGAAAAAAAAGAGACGAATGTGGTCTATGCCTTCGCATGCCCACTTGGGGACTGTCAGCCCCAACGATCTCAATATAACGGCAAGACAAAAGCATTCCTTTCAAGGCGCCTAACAATACACACACACTGCCAGGCCCTATCAAGGAACATATAGTGTGTACGCATAACCAGACCATCACCAGAGATAGCTTCACAAACAACACCAAAATAATACAATAATCGACAGATACAACAACAACAGAAGACTGGACATCTGGGAGCCATTATACACCAAACAACCCAAGCCATCTATCAGCAGCCAACTGGCACCCAATTACACTCTGCCATCTTCGTGAACGCGACGAGACATACAAGTCTCCGTAGTCTCATTCATATATATGAATGAGATTGGGTGGTTATAAATAGGAGCTGCCTCGTGTGGGCCAATAGGCCTTCAGCAGTTACCTTTATTCTTATGTTCTTACAATATAGTGCCCCAGACATCATGCAAGCTGCAGATTGGTAAGTAGCAATGAACCTATTGGCCCTCGAGTGAGGTGTTTCACCTTCACTTCATCCTCGGCTATATATATATATATATACGGCAGCAGGAAACTCTGTAATCGGAACGAACACACTGCCCCGCTCCTGTGCCAGGTAAGTCCACTACGGGATCACCATAGCCCGTGCTACTTGGAACTTG